GGAATCCCCCTTTTTGTACTAGCCAATCACCCTTACCCAACTTGTTCCCACCAGTGAATGTGCTAATTATGTTTTAGAGTTGTTTTATGATTTTCCTGCAGTGTGTGATGATTTGCTAAGAGATGCTCTGATGTATGTGAAGTCCCTGCCTTTCCCAAAGAATGTATAAAACTGCTGCAAACCCTGGGCTTGGGGCCTCTCAGCGTCACCAGTTGCTGTGTGCGCACCAAAGACCGAGCTATCTCGCAATAAACACCTCTTTGCTGCTTACATCGATCTTGGTCTCTGGTGGTCTTTTGGGGGTCCTGAATTTGAGCATAACAGCACCACATAAAAATAAAATAAAGATATTGTATCCACCTATAACTAAAAATTTTTTTAAAAAAGAAATAGATTTAAACAAAAAGATGCATGTCTTGTACACTGAAAAATGACAATAATTGCTAAAGAAAATTAAAGAAGACCTAAATAGATGGAAATACATCCTGTGTTTAGGGAATTAAAAGACTTAGTATTGTTAAGATGATGATACTACCCAAAGTACTGTACAGATTCAATGAGACCCCCATCAAAATCCCCTGGCATTTTTTTTTCAGAAGTGGAAAATTTATAGAGAATTTTAAAGGACCCAGAATAGCCATAATGAAACTGGGACTCATTATTTCTTGATTTCAAAACTTACTACAAAGCTACAGTAATCAAAACAGTGTGGTACTGGCACAAGGATAGACATATAAAACAGTGGAACAGAACTGAGAGCTGAGAAATAAACCTGAGAAATAATTGACTGAGGTTAATGATTGGACAATTGATTTTTGAAATGGGTGCCAAGACCATACAATGGGTAAATAGTCTAAGAGCAAATGGTGTTGGTAAAATTTGATACCCATGTGAATACCTCTTGAATGAAGTTGAATCATTATATTATACCATATACAAAAATTAACTCAAAATGGATCCAAGATTTAAAGTTGGAAATTTAAAAACTCTTAGAATAAGACAGGGGGAATATGCTTGAACTTAGATTTGGCAAAAGTATCATAAATACCAGAGCACATGCAACAGGAGAAAACTACAGATAAACTGGACTTCATTAAAGCTAAAAATTTTGTGCATCAAAAGACATTATCAGGTGCACAGGTGCAGCCTCGGGAGGCTGAGGCAGGAGAATGGCAAGTTCAAAGCCAGCCTCAGCAACTTAGCAAGACCTTGTCACAAAATGAAAAATAAAAAGTGTTGGGGATGTGTCTCAGGGGTTAAGCACCCCTGGGTTCAATCCCAGTACAAAAAAAAAAAAAAAAGATCAGCCATATTTCAGCAGGCAACCATCTCTACGTCACTGAGCCCCAATACAAACTCTGGACTTAAAGTTCAGGCAAATTTAACCTTGTTGGCAATATTCTGAGTGTATTGTCACACACTGTTGCCAGGAAAAATGAACACCACTTAATAATTCCACTGTGAGAAGAAAATTGGAAGCTTCACACTTGGAACTCTCCTGAACTTTGCCCTGTGTATCTCCTCCCTTAGCTGATTTTAGTCTGTATTCTTTCATTGTAATAAACTATGAGTAAAATTTTAAATATTTTTTTGTAAATCATAGGCTTAATAAGTATCCAGTATCCAAAATATATAAAGCACTCTTCCAATTCAACAATAGAAGAGCAACCCAATTTAAAAATGGGCAAAGGACCCACACAGACATTTTTACAAAGAAGACACACAAATGACCCATAAGCCCATGAAGGAGGCCTAATATCATTAGTTATCAGGGAAACAGAAGTCAAAACCATGAGAAACCAATTTATACCTACGAAGATTGGCAATAATACAAAACAAAACAAAGAAACAAAATAATAAGTATTGGTGGAGAATGTGGAGAAACTGGAATCCTCATGCATTGCTGATAGGAGTGTAAAATGATATAGCTGCTCTGGAAAGTTCTTCAAAAGGTTAAATGTAGAGTTATCATATGACTCAGCAGTTCTACTCCTTTGAACAAAGGGACTCAACCAGACTCTTTGTAAGGTTCATAGCATCTCTGTTGGCAATAACCAAAAGGTGGAAATGGCTCACATGTCCATCAATGAATGAGAATGAGCAAAATCTGGTATATACATAACATGGAATATCATTCAGTCATAAAAATGAAATATAAATACATGCTACAACATAGATGCTAAGTTAAAATAATCCAGACACAAAACAACACATATTATGTGATTTTACGTATATTAAATACCAGAATGGACACATGCATAGAGACAGAAAATATATTAGAGAATTTCAGAGGCTGGGAATGGGAGATAGAGAGTTATTGTTTACTGCATATAGAGTTTCTCTTTGGATCTTAGAAATTTTTTGAAAACAACTAAGTGATGATGGTTCTATTACACTGTGAGTAGAATTTGTGTCACCGAGTTAAAACTTGAAATGCTTAAAATGTCAGAGTTTGTTATAAATATTTTACTCAATAAAAAATAGGAAAGAAAATAAATAGCTGAACTGCCAGAAAACGTGCAGATGGGATGTGGAGGGTGAGCTTGCATACCTAGGACGGGGGCAAAGAGTTCTGCAGAAGTCCAGAGTCTGTGGACAAAAGGAGAAAGTGAAAAGGGATAGAGATCTCTTGAATTCTTTTTCAGCAGTCTAAGATTCCTGCTATTTTTAGAGAAGCACTGTAGCTGCTCAGTCTTATCATTTAGTGGACTTTAGCTAGAGGTGGTTGCGAGGTGAGAGGTGGGTGGGGGATCTTATCAGAGGGGCAGGAAGAGAAGTCAATTATATAGGTGGGGTCCTTAGCCAAGACTACAAAACATTTTAAGCATCATCATGTAACAGTGCTGTGGACTGAATTGTATCCCCCCATAATTTGTGTATTGAAGCCCCATCTTCTTTATGACTGTATTTGGAGAAAGGACCTTTAGGAGGTAACCAACGATAAATGAACCCTAATCTGATGGAATTAGAGTCTTTATAGAAAGAAACACCAGTCTCCCCACCATGGGAGGGCAAGAGAGAGGGTGGCTGTCATCAAGCCAGAAAGGGAGCTTTCCCCAGAAACCAACCTAACTGGACCTTGATCAGGGAGTTCTAGCCTCCAGACTGAGAAAACAGACTTCTGTTGTTAAATCACTAGTATGGGGCATTTTGTTATGGCAACCCAAGGAGACTAATGTGCACAGTATCTCTTTACAACAGAAATGTCTCAGTCAACTGTTTTCTCAGAGCAAGTAACTTTCTCTGTCAATTGAAATTCTACTTGTCTATCAAACTTAAACAAAAAGCATTTCTTCTAGGATTGTCTTCCCTGAAGGCCATACCAAGACTGATTTTTTTTTTTTTTTTTTTTTTTTTTTTTTTATTCTCTGGACTCCTACAGCATTTTGCCTGGAAGATCCTTACTTTGGATTCCCTTTCATTTGGAATGTTCTCTCTAAATTACTGGTGCATCCCTTTCCATCTCCAGCTTGGGCTTTTTCTCTGAACTCCAGAACTGCAGATCTGACTGACTACTTTCATCTAGGAAGCTGAAAGCACACAAAATTTAATATGTCCAAAATGTTCCTCCAAATGTCTTTGGTGTTTTTCAATTTTAGTGACTAACACCTCCATTCATCAACATCTTCTCAAGCTAGACACAAACTAGATGTAGTTGGCATCCTCTTTGCCCTTGCCTACCACATCCACCCTCTCAGGCAGTAGCACTACTTTTATTTTGACCCATTATCCCTTTTGTGGCTGTCCTGGTCCAAGCTACTCTCATCTTGATCCTGGACCACCCTCAACTTGTCCTTTCTTCCACATTTGACCCCTCTAATTTGACCCTTCTAAACAGTTCTCAGACCAACCTTGGTTTCGTCTCCCTGCCTAGAGTTTTTATGTGATCCTGGAGGATCTGGCCCCTGTCTATCTATCCAGATTCATTCCTTCAACAATTCTATCATTTTTCCATGCCTCCAACTTTTGCAGGTATCAGTGCTTCTGCCTGGAATGCCTCCCGCTACCTCCTGGCAGTGGTGAGGATTGAACCCAGGGACTCATACATGATAGGTAAGCACTTCACCACTGACCTATACCCCCAGGCCTCAGGATTTTTTGTGACTGTCTTTATCTGGTTAGTTTCTATTCATTCTTTTTTGAGGGTTGGAATTGGGGATGGGAACTGAACCTAGGGGTGCTTTGCTACTGAGCTACATCCCAAGACTCTTTTTATAATTTTTTATTTTGAGACAGGGTCTCACTAAGTTGCATGGCCTCAAACTTCCCATCCTCTTGCCTCAGCCTCCTGAGTTGCTGGGACTACAGGCATGCACCAATCATGACCTGCTTCTACTCATTCTGTAAATCTCAACTCAAATGTAATTCCTCAAATGAACCCTTTCCTCCACCCTATCTCCTCCAATTGTGGACAGACACTGGTCCCACTATGGGTAGGCTCCCTCCACTTTCTGTGCTTCGGCACACCTGTCATTTAATAGTCAACAATGAGAAGATCACTTAAAGGATATACAGCATGGTTCAACAGTGTATCCTAGGTACCTGGAAGAATGACCCACACATATTAGATGTTCAGTAAGTGTTTGCTGCATAAATGATCAAGGAACAAAATCTCAGCACTCCCATTTTCCATCCATTTGACTTGGGAAAGTCACTTAATATTCTTGATTCATAAAGAGAGTTTATTTAATTTTTAAAGTTTTATATTAAAAATTAAAGAAAAAAAATAAAGTTTTATATTATTATTATTATTATTATTATTATTATTATATCAAGGTGGGCCTTAGGCTCGTGTTTGCGTCCACTCTTATGTCCAAACAATGAAAGCCAGAGGAAGCTGTTTAATCATCCTGGGTAGTGTGGGCTCTGGGAAGTCTTCCTGGGGGAGGTGGCACTTGGTTAGGGTCTAAAGGGGTCTAAAGAAATCTAGGCAGAGAGCACGCACTGCATGGATACTCGGAGGCTGCGGCTCACAGAAAGCCAGGCGTTGGGTGGCCCACCTTGCAGGCCCTCCAGGCGGAAGGTGCGGTGTTCCACTGAGAGCCCCGACGCGCTGTATGGCCCGTAGCGCAAGATGACCACAGCGTTCCTCGGCATGGCGCTCGCTGCCGCCTGAGGCTGCAGCCTGGGATACCAAACAACGCGTTGCTGGGTAAGCGCTCTTCCTGCCCCCAGAGGACTGGGCGAGGCCTCGAGTGGGCGGGACTAAGGCGGGGCCCGGGAATTCCACCCCAACAAAGCTCCAGCCGAGGGGTGGGTTCGTTCTCCCCACCCTTAGGGGCAGGGAAACCAAGGCAGTTTCAACCTGCGAGGCAGGTGTCGAGGATAAGTAACAATAACCGACATTTACGTTGCAGATATAGGAAGTTTGTGTCAGGCTACAGTGCTAATCACTTTACAGATTTGTCATATATATATATATATATATATATATAATTTTTAATATATTATATATATATATATTTGTTATATATATATATATATATATTTTTTTTTTCCTTTTTTCTTTTTTTTTGTCCCAGGGGATTAAACTCGGGGGGCATTCGGCCACTAAGCCACATGCCACATCCCCAGCCCTATTTTGTATTTTATTTAGAGACAGGGTCTCCCTGAGTTGCTTAACACCTCACCTTTGCTAAGGCTGGCTTTGAACTTGGGATCCTCCTGTCTCAGCCTCCCGAGCTGCTGGAATTACAGGTGTGATTTCTTATAATTTAACTATGATATTAACCCTATGAAGTAAGTTGCATTTTGTATTTTTTATTTAAAAAAAAAAAAAAACAGATCAAGCAACAAGCCAAGCAGGGGTTTGGTTTAGAAAATTTTTGCATTTCCTCTACTTTTTTGCCTGCTTTTGGATTGATTCAATATGTTTTTTTAATCATTCAGTTTCTCCTCGTTTGAAAGTTGTTTCTTTTCTCTAGTTAAAGAACAGAATGGTGAGCCCACAGCTCAGGTTTGTCCCAACTCTTGTATCCAAGCAGTGGAAGTCTATTTGGTGAAGACAAAAACTATAGGTTCCCCAAACTTCTATTCATTTGCTGGGTCCTGCCGGTTGGAATGCAGACCTAAAAGACATCCACTACTTCTAGCTCTGGCCTCTAAAACCTCTTCTGCACTCCTGCTGGCTCTCTCCTCATTGTCAGTCAGACACAGAGGATGCTAGGAGGACCTGGAGGTCCCATGGATTGAGGGACCCAAAACATGTCAGGCGACTGTCTCTCTGAATATCAGCACTGAATAAAGCCTTGCAAACCTGCATCAGTCTGTGACAGGAGCAAGAAGGAACATTTATTCTGCAACCACTGAGATTTTGAAGTTGTTTATTACAATGATTAGTGAAATCTAATAATTACACCCTTGAAATTACAACATATATCTTTAATTTCCAAAAATCAATGGTAGCTGTTATTTTTTATCCTCCTTTTGAACAGTAAAAAGATTTAAAAACCCTTTATCATTACTTTTTCTCCCAGCATATGTTCTTGTTTCTGTGTTTTAATTCTTTCTGTGGGTACAATCTGTCCTACTATGACACATATGTCTTTGAAGTTAGTTTATACATGTTTGGTAAATAGAGGGATGATGCCAGTAGAATTCTGAATTGAGGGAGGTCATAAATAGTTTCCCCCAGCACATTGTTTTCACCGTCAAATGACAGCAACTGAACTCACCAACAGAGTTGAGTGCAGTAAACTGGGGAGGAATGTGGAACTGTAGTGACATTGTTAATCTTCCTGCTGGCTCAGTATGGCCGGGTGTCCTGTCTTACAGGGATTCATATTGTCTGGTTCTAAGTTTTATATACTTTTTATGAGGCAAAAATCATCATTTCATTTTAATGTTTTTATTTATTAGAAATTTAACTGTAGCATTAACTTTGCTAAAAATTTTAGAAGTATCATTATTGCTTTGTTGTTGTTGTTACTGTTCTGTTTTCATGTTTATCACTTGCTTTCTACGATTTCACTGTAAGGTGCCTATGTATAAATTTCTTTTTATTTATCCTGCTTGGAATTTGTGGAGATTCTTGAGACTAAATGAATGCCCTTCATTAGTTTTTGGAAAAGTTTTAGATATTACTTTTTTCTTCCCCATTGGTACTGGTGATTGAACCCAGGGGTGCTCTACCACTGACTCCATCCCCAGCCCTTTTTATTTTTTCTTTTGAGACAGAGTCTCACACTAATTTGCTTAGGACCTCACTAAGTTGCTGAGGCTGACCTTGAACTGTGATCCTCCTGCCTCAGCCTCCTGAGTCCGTGGGATTACAGGTTTACACAACCATGACTGGTTGAGCCATTAGTTCTTCACAGGCTACTTCTGTTCCATTTTTACATTTCACGGACTCTAAATATGCTAGACCTTCTTACCATATTCTTTATGTTTCTTCTCTTTGGTATTTTTTTTCTCTTTTTACCCCTCTTTCCCTGCTTTTTTTTTTTTCTAGAATGTATATATGCTTGTACACTATATATGTGCAATTGTTCATTTTTATATACAATCCAGTTTACTAATTTTCTTTTCATCTGTGTCTTCACTTATGTGAAAGCCATCAACTTGGTTATTTATCTTCCAATTCTAGAATTTTAGTCTGTTCCTTTTCAAATCTTCTGTGTCACTTTGTATAATGTTTCCCTCCATATGTGTTTGGTGTGTCCAGGAAAGTGGTTTTGTATTTGATTCTGCTGAGGTCCTTTGGGTCTTACTGACACAGGCCATTTTTTTTTTATGCCAGGTTTTAAATCCGGGACACTTAACCACTGAACCATATCCCCAGCCCTTTTTTATTTTGAGACAGGGTCTTGCTAAATTGCTGAGCCTGGCTTTGAACTTGTGATTCTCCTGCATCAGCTGGGATTACAGGTTTGTGTACCACTGTGCTGGGCCCAATTGTTTTTTTTTTTTTAATTATAGTCTTAGAGGTCCTACTTTACATAGAAGGTGTGTTGATTCAAAGTCCTCATGTGGCACAAGTTTGTGGTTTTGATTTCTCATGATTGTGTTTCCTCCTCTTCTACAGCCCCAAGGACATGGCAGATTTCTTCATTGCTCCCTTGAGCCAATGGAAAGGGTTTTTCTGGGCTTTTTCACAAGGTGGGATACCTCTAGGAGGTCTTGGTTTTGTGGAGGGAGTTCCTAGCTGCTTTTCCCACCTTCCATGGGCTACGTGGCCTTTCAACTGGCAGCAAGGGTAAACCCCACCAGCCCCACTGCGGTCTGGGTCTGTCTGATGCACCTTTTTAGCTTCTGCTTATTGTTGTGTTTTGAACATCCTTCAGTTTATTCTGAAATGTGAAGATTCCTTCCTTCCTTCCTTACCTCCCTACGTCTTTCCTCCCTCCTTTCTCCCCCCCTTCCTTCTTTCTTTCCTTCCTCATTTTCCTGGGGATTGAACCCACAGTGTTTTATCTCTGAGTTACATCCCAGCCCTTTTTTCTGGGGATTGAACTCAGGGGTATTCAGCCACTGAGCCACATCCCCACCCCTATGTTGTATTTTATTTAGAGACAAGGTCTCACTGAGTTGCTTAGCACATCACTTTTGCTGAGGATGGCTTTGAACTCAGTATCCTCCTGCTTCAGCCTCCCAAGCCACTGAGATTACAGGCATGTGCCACTATGCCGGCCCCTTTTCTCTCTTGACCCCTATAGCTTTTATTTTTATTTTATTGTTTTTTTTAAGAGATAAGTTCTCAATACAGTGCCAGATTGGCCTCAATACAGGCAGAGATACTCCTGCCTCAGCCTCCCAAGTATCTGTGACTACAAGTGTGTACCACTGCATCCAACTTCCCTATATCTTTTAGACATCTGCCACTATTGCTGGCAAAATACAGACAAAGGCCAAAGAATTGTTGATCCAGTTCACAGAATTTACAGCATTATATTTTATAGCATTTGTCAGTAGATACAATGACCGGTGACATCTTTCTTGGCATTAGGTTTTATTGAATACAGAGTTACGGTCTTTTAAATAAGTTGAATAGAATGCTTTCAATATACAGTCCTTTAATCATACATATATTTCTTTAAAGCACAAAACTATAAATTAAGATGGAAAGGCTATAAATACACATGTACATATTGCCATAAATCTATAACTATTTTATAAAAATAGAACTCAAATATTAACTTTATATATTTTGGCAACTTAGCAGTATTGTAAGGTGGCCACATTTATTATGCATCATTGTTCCAAATGACTGTCTCATTTTCCATCTCTTTGGGGACACATGGAACAATCTCCTTTCCCAGAGTCCCCACAGAAATGCCCTTGGCCATGGCTCAGTGTTGCCTTTGCATAAAGACGTAGTGGACCCATCTGTTCTTGGAGGGGGAAGACCAGCTTCCAGCCCCTTCCTCAGAAAGAAGAGGTGTTCCCTCCAGCCAAGTATCTGTCACCTATGATTCTCAAACCCTCACAGTGAATGGTTTAATATCTGAATATACAGAGTGAGTTCCCTTTCCCTATATTCAGAGAACAGCAGCTATGAACTTGGTTCTGTCTGAGCAGTGTGAACAATGCCTGCTGGGGAAAGCCATTCTGAAGGTGGGCGTTACTGTCCACCTGCCACACGAGATCTTTGCGCACGTGGTCTCCATCCCTCAGAGCCTGGCAAGATGGGGAGACTGTTGTTCTCATTTGACAATGGAGGGAATTAAGTCTCTGGGCATTTAAATCACTTGGCCACGTTCAGTGTGGCTGCCTGACCCTACTGTCAGAGAATTTTGTCTGCAGAAAAATCCACTGAGGGAAACTGGAAGAGAACTCAGATCTGGCACTGAGGTCACTGAGTGAGATCAGACAGGTGGCTAGCATTCAGAAGGTAGACTGCAGGTCCCCAGAAACCCCAGGAGTCTTTGGGCTGCGAGTTGCCAAGAGAAACTGGAAGGTAGGCATCAGGGGAAGCCACAGGGATCTACAGACCAGTGGCTTAAGTTTAAATGTTAGAAGCCAGTGGCCAAATCTCCCCCATCATCCAATAGGAGCTCTTCCTCCTAAAACCAGGGTCTCAAGGACTCCTCTCCTTTGGGTTGCTTGTGTTCTCAAATAGCTAAGCAAGGTCAAATGCCTGCCCCACCTTAGCCCACCTG